CGGGCCGTGACAGAGAGGGACGCGCCCCGGCAGAGGCTCATCGTGCTGGTGCGGGATCGCGGGCATCCGTCGCGCTCTGCCACTGCCACCCTCGCTGTGGCACTGGTGGACGATTTCTCCGATGCCTTTCACCAGCTTGGCCACGATCCTGCGAGCCGACAGCAGCCACAGATAGCCGAAGAGGAAATGCTCACCACTTACCTCATCACCTCCCTGTGCTGCGTCTCGTCCCTTTTCCTCTTGTCCGTCCTCGTCTTGACGGCGAACACGCTCTGCAAAGCTCGTGTCCGGGCAGAGCTTCCTCCTCCCTCTCCCAGCTGCTATGCGGATGGAGATTTCGCCAGCGACGGCGTGGGCGCGGGAAGCACGGGTACTCTGTCGCCGGCTTACCGCTACGAAATGTGTCTGACCAGCGGCTCGGGGAGGAGCGAATTCCGGTTCCTGAGGCCCATCCTGCCCAGCCTTCATAGCAATGCTGAGGCGGGACAGGACAAGGACGAGGAGCTGCTACGCCACTCGCAGCCTCCTTGCGACAGGGAAGCCCAAACGAGGAGCAAAGCCACTCCTCCTTTTTAGCCGCGAGACTAGCCAGTAGGCGTGCGCGTCCATGCCTGAGCCGTGCTGGGACGCAGCGCCCTTCCCTGTCCTCAGCCTGAGATTCCCCAGTAGTTGTTGTGCCGTTACTTGCTATAATATGCGTACTCTCCCCCCGTTAGGCACCAGGCCGGTTACTTCTGCAGGGGAAGGCAGCTCAGTCTGTCCGAGTTCAGCCTCTGCCTCATACTACCCTGGAAAATCGTTGTGCCACTCTTGCCGCCGCGTTTCTCGGTTGTTGCAAAAGCGCCTATCGCTAGCCAAGAGCACACCAGACCGGGAGTTCGAGTCCAGCGAGGAAAGAAGACTGGAAGCGGAGCAGCTGCCGGGGATGCTCTGTCTACAGAACTCTACCAGGGCTACTACCTATCCTCCCTAGCGCTTCTCTCCCTGAAGGATGGGAGCGCATCCTGCCGCAGGAGCCCCCGCGGTGCGCGCGGCTCCGCGGCCGGGGCGAGCGGCAGCGCGGGCTGCGGGCGGCGGCGGCTGCAGTGCCAGCGCGCACCGCTGGGTGGTGCCCTCGGCCAAGGCGGCGCCGAGCGGCTGCGGCAGCGGAGGCGGCCGAGCCCGGCCC